ATGACACTTCAACTTCTTTGGGATGTTAGAGATGTACAGTCTGTACCAGACTTCCAGAATCTCAGATGTCATTCATCTCCTGAATCTGCATCACCTAAAGGGTGCTCAGAACTTTGCAGCCATGAGGCATCCCTTTGCTGTGCCCCAGCCTCGTTACATGTGATGACGCCTCATCTCATTTCATTGCTCCTGTGAAAACCAGTCTGCATTTTATCATATAATTCAGAAGTACCCCATTACAGTAGAAAGAGTACCCCACAGTGGCTACATCATACAGAGGGAGAAAAAATCAATTTTTCATCTTTCTGTTTTTTAAAAGTCTCCCAAAAGGCAAGAAGCAACAGAATCTCCTTACCTTCAAAGCAGTAGGTTTTCTGTTCAGCAGTCTAAGAAGGATTTGTCTAGACTAGTATTGTCAGACCCTAAAGATTCCTTTAAACCATTAATATGTTCAGCCTGTGGCATCACTTGGGAATAGTATGTTCCACAAACTATAAATGAAAGAAATTAAGGGTACCACAAGGAACATATCCAAAAGAAGTGCAAATGTGCTCCTAGACAAGAGTGACATTTGTTATAGTTTATCCAGAACACATCCCCAGCCCCCGCCTTGAACTAGGCAAGGGACACTTCTTTTCTGCCCTTATAGCATATAGAGTAAGCCTCTATAGAACAAATTTGTCACTTGGCTATTCTCCTATTGAGCTCCTTGAGCATACAGACCACATCTTACTCATCTTTGTTCCACTCAGGTGAAGCATACTTTCTGGAATGTTCTGGGTATCTAGTAAACCCCTTAAAAAATGGCCTGTCTTTGTATCCCAAGGACTCTAGTTTATTACTTGGTACATAGAAGGAACCCAATAAACATTTTGCCAAAGAAATAAATTGAATAAAATACAATTATTTTAGAATTGTTAAGACCCCGGGTGGTATGACTGAAACCTCTTGTTTCACAAATGAGAAGACTGGGTCCTAGAGAGGTGGATTCATTTGCCCATCAATCCTCAGTGCATCATTAGCACCTGGAATTAAAGCTAGATGCACTGATTTATAATTCAGTGTTCCTTTCAATCTAAATTGGTAGCTGCCTACAGTTTGCTGGCATTACAGAAACAAATTCACAATGAAAATTACCCAAATAGGGGCACCTGGGTGGCTCAGTCAGTTGAGTGTCCAACTTCTGCTCAGGTCATGATCTCCCAGCTTGTGAGCTTGAGCTCCACATCGGGCTCTGTGCTAACAGTCCAGAACCTGTTTCAGATTCTATCTCCCTCTCTTTCTGCTCCTCACTCACTCACACTCTGTCTCTCTCTCAAAAATAAATAAATGTTTAAAAAGCTTTTTTTGAAGGGGGAAAAAAAAAGAAAATCACCAAAATAATATCCTATGTATCTAAAGCGCTTTAGAGATTACAAAGCATTTTGTTAAGTTTATTTTTTTTATTTTGAGAGAGAGCATGAGTGGAGGAGGGGCGGGGGTGGGGGGTAAGAGAGAATCCCAAGCAGGCTCTGCACTGTTGGTGCAAAGCCCTATGCAGGGCTTGATCTCAGGAAACCATGAATTCATGACCTGAACCAACATCAAGAGTCAGATGTCATCCAGGTGCCCCAGAGGTTACAAAGCATTTTAATAAACACTCTCTCACTTGCTTTTTGTGTTACCTCAATGAGAGATCAATAAAGAATATAGTATTCTTGTCTATCAGATGAGAAAGCTGGGATTCAGAAATCTTAGTGACTTGCCCAAAGTGTAGGACTCAAATCTTTATTTTCTGATGAGGGCTCTTTCTTTCAGGCAGTTATCTTCTGGTGCTATGAGAATTCAGTGATATTTCCAATGAGGGACTTATTATAGAGATTATAATCCCCTCTCTCCCCACCAAAAAATATTAGAACTGGGCAGGGCTCCTTCTAGAACACTCTAGAAATGAAGCTTATGCAGGATTGGATTGGCTGTGAATTTGGAATGGGAAGGAAGGTGGCTACAGAGTGTTAGAGGAGGTTAATCTCCTGGGATACAGTGGGGGTAAGGTGAGAACTTTTAAAATGGAAAAAAATCCAGAGATTCAGCACAGGAATAAGAAAATGACAGATCTGTGTACTCAGGGTCCAAAGAAAAGGAGTTATCTTTGATGTAAAATATAATAGGTCATTGTTTAACATTCTTGGATTCTTGGGAAAATATTTTGCATCTTGATGTGTCTCGTCTTTCCCATTGGCCAAGAGCCTCCCTTCCACTAGACCGTCAGAGCAGGTGTACAGGTGTACATTGTGTACATGCAAGACACTGCACTCAATGTTCTGCTGTTGATCTCTTGAAAATCTTCATAACCTTTGAACAACAGACTGCACATTTTCATTTTACATGAGGCCCCCAAAAGAGGTAGCCAGTTTTAGTTAAGAAACTAAGGTTTTGCCAATTTTTCCCAATTATGTAGGATTTTTTCCATCTTTTGCAAGTGATTAATTCTTTAGGATAAGAATCTTTAAACCATGATGCATACCCTCTATAAAACAAAAATTAGAGCAGATTGCAAAGATACTAGCAGACGGGAAAATTAGGCAAAAAATGGTAAGCCTAAAGTGATTCCGTTAAATCTTTAGGCATTTAATACTGATCAGCATATGATCATGTGTCAAGAATTAGGATTTTTGAAAGGATCAATTAAATCCTTTCTCCTGAATCTTCACACATTGCTTCAACCATTTAGAGGGAGTGATTGCTCTTTTCATGTTGAGAAAAGGATTGTGGCTGAACAATCCTGAAAACTTGATGTGGGTGAAGATGCCAGTTCTCTGCTAAATAACTTGCATCCTTACCCAGACATTTCTCCTGCCATCCCTTGATAGTGAAATCTTATCAAACTTTATATTACTGAATAATAATAATAATAAAAATAAAAACAACTTTATATTACTGCTCAGTTCTCTCTTGGGATGGTTTGGCAAAAAGATCCAAGGAAGAAAATTGAAAAACTGTGTATCTTCGTATTTTATCCATCTTACAGTATATATTAGGACAGTAATAGAGAAAGTGTTTGCTGGGATTATTTCTAAAACTGATGTGGATATTATCTTTATTGGGAGTGTACACATAAAAGAATATCACTCCATTAACAGTAAACATAAGAAATTTCTGGGGGAAAAGCTTCTCTTCCCCTGGACTAAAAGTAGAAGTATTACATTTATTTGAGTAATAATCCTACGGCTGCTGTGCACCTCTACTCCGCTGTGATCTTTTCTTTTCCGGCCTCCTGTAATACTGACTGCGGACCAACACGTGTTAATCTATTTACTTACTCATTGATAAAACAAAAGTATCAAGTACCTGCTAAATGTTAGTCATGGTGTGGGGGGAAGAGGAAGGAAGCACGTATTTTACTACTTAATCATTATTAGTCCTTAGTTTCAAATGTATGTATTTGGACTTCTTTGGTGATAGTAAAGCATTTAAAGACAAAATGTGTCTTACACACTTTGGATTGGGTATTGAGAACAGAATACACTCCATAAAAAGTTCCTGGGTAGAATTCAGTTTGGAACAAAAGTAGAGTTACTTTCTGGTGTACCCATATTAAGAACTCAGGGGGCGCCTGGGCGGCTCAGTCAGTTAAGCATCTTGACTTTGGCTCACATCATGATCTCACAGCTTATGAGTTCGAGCCCTGCATCGGGTTCTGTGCTGACAGCTCAGAGCCTGGAGCCTGCTTCAAATTCCATGTCTCCCTCTCTCTCTGCCCCTCCCCTGCTCTCACTGTCTCTCTCCCTCAAAAATGAATAAACATTAAAAATTTTAAAAGAACTCAGAGGATAGGAATTAGGGAAGAAAAAGGGTTGAGATGGGCACAGACGTGTGTTTCATGAAAGGTAGAAAAACTTGCCTGAGTGAAACCAGAGGGTTATTTTAGCTGAGCCCCTAATGGCAGAGAAAAAGAAAGAAAAATACTAGTGGAGAGTAGAAAATGTTAAGTATGTGAAGTGAAAGATTCTGGAGTTCTGAAGAAAAGCTTTAGCTGTGGAAATGAAAAAAAAAAAACATTTCAGAGTTTTCTGAAAAAATAAATTATAGGTTGTAATTATGCGGAGTGTTCTAAAGTCAAACAGAGAAGGAAGATGGCATTTCTAGTAATTGTTAGAATAAAGAGTAAGGAAAAGACTCCATGGTGTAATGTTCCTCTTTTGTCAAAGATGTTAGAAAGTTTTAAGAAAAGTTAAAGTAGAAGAAACAGAAATAAAACAAGAAGCCCTAGATGCAGTGATGTCATTGAAAAAAAAATCATACTCTAATTGGATCATTGGCTTTGGAGGGGTCTTCATGCCTATTTAGCAATGTCCCCACACCTGGCTGAACAGCAAAATCACTGAGTGAAATTTTGAAAGCAATTCCAATATCTCTCACCTCCTACAGTGAATCTTTCAGAAATAGAAAGGAGGTGAGTTTGGCACAAGCTGTTATTAGTGAGTCCTTTTTAGTCCCTAGTAATTACCCTGTTCTCATTCTTTTTCTCCTGAGTTTCTATAAGCCATCTATTTAATGATTTATCCAGCAACTTAAAATTCACTCTTCCACTATTTTTTAAAATGTATCTCCTCCCCTCCCCAATCACTCCCCAGCACTCTTAAAACTCGGGCTGTTTGTCTAGGCCTACGCTTCTGTAATCCCCATGTCTTCCAGGCTTCCTCTGAGCTCACCACAAAAGTTCCATGGTCCTGTCTTCCAGTTCCTTCAGTGAACTTGGATAAGGTTCATTTGGGCCTGGAGACAGGAACCTAAATAAGGCAGCTAGAGGCTCCCTTGTAGTCTTGTCACCTCTCTCAGGCTTCAGTTCCTTCTTCGTCTGTTGTTTTGTGGCTTGGTTTGAAGATCATTCCCACTGATAGGGAGGGTGGGGGCAAACAGAATGCTAACAGTTTCTGTTCTCTTTTACTATCATCTGCTAATACTATAATATCTGCCCCAAGGGGAATGTGAATCATTCCTTGCATTCACTCTAAACATACGTTAACAATTCCTTTTATTGTCCTCTGCATTTTTCTCAAGCTTGAGCTCATTCTCAGATTTAACCCCTCCTTACACCGTTCTTAAGCCAATCCTCTTTGTATCGGTTTCTGATAGTGTGCTTTTTCTCCTCTGTTGTATCCTTCCTGTGCCATCAGCCACATGCCATTATTTATATCCCCACATCCTCCACTGTATTTTAACTCATCCATATTAAATTTTCAGTTTTTATTGTCAACGTTTCATTATTGGGCATCTCCTCACTTCACCCTTAAGCCATCTTTTTGTCTTAGACTCTGGTCATGGGACCGTATCATTTTTTCCTCTGAACTTTCAGAACTTTGAGTCCTCAAATCTTGAGAAATACAGTCGGTGGCACAGCTTGCTTTAAAATTAGAAAAAATGTCTGGGTCCTCCCTAGGCCTGTGGAATCTGAAGCCCCCAGAGTGGCTCATAGAATCTGTGATTAGTAAGCTTTAATGATTAGAAATGACTCTACCCAGCCATTCTTTTTCTGACTCTTAGGAACACCAAGTAGCACTTTCTTTGAAGTTTTCCATCACTTCAATGTTGCTTTGTTGGTAATTCCTCTCATTAACCCCTCCAATTTCTGAAAGACAAAATTGTCAACAAATTAATATTTCATCTGTTGCTCTACTTTTAAGAGAGTACAAATTTTGAAAATAACTTGAATTTTTCTAAACACTATTATATCTTGCCTCCATGATAATGACATGAAATATTATGTATGTCCCCAGTCTGGTGAGGTTGTCTGCAATGTATTTCCATTAGAGTCCTTCCATAAGTGTTCAGTTTTCTTTCTTCTTCTTTTTGGACTGAATGCAAAGAGTTGACAGAACAGTAATCCTCAGTTCACATCTCTGTCATTTACCTCCCTGTCCTTGTTTGAGTTTCTCTCCCCTCCTTTTATCTTCAATCCATACCCCTGTTCTCATCTCCTCCACACATAGTTACTATAAAGTGCTTAGTCTATATCCACAAACAATTAAATTTGTCTTGTCTAGCTATTTTTAATTTACAGAAATGATATTTTGCTCTAAATATCATTGTTTGCTTTTTTCCACCCAGCGGTTTTTAATATCCATTTTAAATAATTTTATATCAATCTAATTTGTTCCCTTAATTATATTTTATAGTATGTATATTCTTTTATTTCTGTATCCACTAATGATGGACATCTAGGTAGCCCCCTTTCCCACCCGATGGTAGTAAAAAACATCCTCTTCCATACCTTCTAATGACCTGAGGAAATTTCTCTGGCTCAGAATCATGAGCTGTTGAATGAACTCTTTACTAAGTACTGCCAGGTAACATCACCAAAATCACGGTGTTGATATATGTTTCCCTCTCCTAAGGTCTTCACCTGTATTTGGTATTATTATCCATCTTTCTAAATTTTATCATTCTAATCCATATCAAGTTGTATTTCATTGTGTTTTAATATGGATTTCTCTCATTGCAAGGGAGTTTGGCCATCTTTTTATATGCTTACTAATTCTTAAGGCTTCTCATTCTGTAATTTATTTATTTATATCCTGTGTCCATTTTTTTTGTTGGATTTCTTCTTTATTCTTTTGGGTTCTCCTATACTGATTCATGGTCCTTTGGTATACATACCTCATAAAGCTAAAAAACCCTTAATTTTATACTAGTCCAGTCCACTCTTATCATTTTCAATGATAACCAATTCCGGTTACAATTTGGGCTTTTAGGCTCTTAAGAAATCTTTTCCCACTCCTGGGTCACAAAGATATTTTCCCTCCATTTTCTTTTATTTGGTTGATGTGCTTACCTTTCATACTTTGGTCTTTAATCTATTTACTTTCTACTTTGTGGTTTATAACATAATGTAGGGATGTAGTAATCCAGCTTGATTTTTTTTCCCCTTAACATAATAAAGATGTTTTCTCAGCACCAGCCACTGAAGAACATTGTGCATTTCCATGAGGATTGTGATGCCCTGGGACAACATGCAGTGCAGTGGTCAAGAGCGTGGGCTCTGGGGCCTGACTGAATCCCAGCTCTGTCACATGCCTGCTTTGTGACATAGGCAACTACTTAATAGGACTCCAAGTCACAATGAGGAAGAAATGAGATGTTCCAGGCATACTGAAAGTACTCAGCTCTTGTTGTTATTTATCCATGTAAACAACATTGTTTATTATTGTTGTATATATTCTTCTACATACGTGAGTCTAGTACAGTTTTATTATTCTGTACTCAGTTTCATTGATATCTTTTTTTTTCTTGTGCCAGTATATGTGATAACTGTGTCTTTCTAATATGTCTTCTATACCTTCCTCATTCCTTTCTCCTCCTTTTTTTTTTTTTTTCCTTTTTGCTACCCTAACCCAAGATCACCTCAGTTTTGCAGACTGAGAAAGTTGATTTTGTCCATGTTTCCTTAGGCGGATATAACTTGGACAACTGTTCTAGGGAATGAAAAAAAAAAACCTTAGAGGAAATTGCTGCATAAAGCAGATTGCCAATGTAATGTATTAATTTACAGTGAGATATCGTACTGCCAACCAGACCTGGGAACTGGGTTTTCTTGATTACCTGCACATTCTTCTCTGCAGGAGAGTATGTTAGCAAACCATTTTAGAGTCAGGAGCTCATGGGACCAGAGAAGGTGGTAGATGGAAGATCTAATGTCATCACACCATATAGTTCGAGACAGATGCATGCTATAAAATAAAGTGCCCATAGTGGAGATATACCTACTTACCTGCCAAGTTGGGCCAAAAGCTGTAGAGTTACCCTGACCACTTCTTCCTCTGGGCAGCGGCGAGGACACACTGATGGATTCTTCTTTGTCCATTCCACTCTCCGCTCCCGCTCATGCATAGATTTCAGCAGAACACATTATTTCTCTCCTCAGGTTTATCCACACCATTGATTAAGCCTCGACCATCTTTCCACATTCCAGCTACACACACCTTGATTAGAATTCTAGACCCTGGATTTCATCCTGCTCCTTAAGGTAACATCTTCAGATAACTAATCTCATCTAATGCAAGTAAACTTTACTAGTTTAACTAGAAGAACAATCCTTTTTCTGAGTGCAGGAGATTATCCATTGCCCTATTTTGTTTCCTGCATGTCATACATCACGGCCACATAGAATCAGGTTTGTTCTATATGACTGCTTTCCACTCTCTCCTTTCAAGTTCTCTCTTACCCACTAATCTCCCAAACACATTCTCTGTAGTGTCCTTTAGTTGACTCTACCCATCTTCCTAGCCCTCCCCACACCTCAAGCCAGTCTCACTCTGTCTTAAATTAGTGCCCAATCTGGTGGCACTTAGCATCTCAGCGTTGGAGAGACAAAGAATTGTGATCTTTAGAGTACTAATTTTTTGAGGGGTTCAAGCAGCTAGACCTTTTCTGAATGCATTTAAACCCATTTGCTATGCATAACCATTGTCTAACCTACGACCTTGGGCATGTTTGCAGCATCAAAATTTATTTACAAAGATTCTTGAATAGAAGAAGCTGGTGACAATGAAAAGCAGCCACTCCTGATTCAGATATTTTATATCAATTGTTGTTCTGACTTGACACACAAAATTGAGTCACAGCCTTAAATATAGGTATTGTTATACAATTAATGTCAGAATAAAATAATAGTCTGCTTTGTTTTGATTTTCACATTGCCATTGTATTTATAGCTATTTATTTCCATTGTTCAATCATAACTTACTTTGACTTCGTGTTCAATAGGTTGTGCAACAAATTTACAGTTAAATAACATTATGTCTCATCTCAATCAGTCATGCTGCCGTAATTCAGGTAAACAGACAATAATGAAGTAGACACAGCACAGAGTGTGTATTCTGTTCCTCAGAAAGCATCTTGAGAGGCTCAGGTTATAAAGGAAAATACCCCAACCCCTTTTGTGATTTTTTTTCTATGTCATCTGTATTTGGACATTTATAATCTCGTACATAGTCCATTAGACATAACCAAGATCTGTAATTTTAGTCACATCAGTAGCCTACATTTATATACTTTTAACTTGTCAAAGTAGTCACCTTCATTAGCTCACATGAGCTAGTTTATGTGACATAAATTCAAGAATGGATTATTATTGTATTTTGAGATTGGGAAAACAAACAGTAGAGGGGAATAAGAGGCCTGCCTGTGCTTTCCCAGCGTTGAAATTAGAAGCCAGCTTTTCTGACTTCCGCCTTTCCACGGTGCCTCTATGCCTCTATGCTCTATTCCTGATGGTGGCGCTCTTCTCTCAGAAAATGCTATGACTCCTGTGCACTGCTGGGCCATGTTCAAGACAGCATTAGAAACGTCTAGAACCTTCCTTGTAAATACATATGGGTGAAATAGGCTTCCTTCAAGGATTGACACTGGGGGAGTCAGCAGTCTCTCTAACCCTTGCCAGAGTTCTGGTACTTAGGATTTCCACAGGGCCCTCTCCTTGCAGCCCAGGAAACTGAAGGTACTGTTAAGGGGCTGTGTTCCCTGCTGAAGTGAATACAAGGAGCCCTCGGCAACAGCTAACAGTGTACCTTGTTATGCCTTATGATTACCTGAAGCTCAGCCGGGACCTCGGGGACTAGGAATTCAGAAGGATTTAACAGATGTCAGGGCATCACAAAACTTCCAGAACAGAGAACTTTTTCCTAAAGGGCCACTATAGTGGGATGCCTTGACAGAAAGCCCAGGCAGTACCAAGGTGAGCATTGGAGAGAAGAGGGCTGCCCACCTAATTTCATAGTTTTTCCAAGACTGGTCCTTTTCTGTACCAGGATCTGCCAAAGTAAAATGAGTAAGGTAAGGGTCAAGTTAAATGAGGTAAAGAATATAAACCATTTAGGATGGTGCCTAACACAGTAAATCCTCAATTTCTCTTTGTAAGAAAGCAGAGAAGCACACTTGCACAGAAATGAGAACTCAGCCTTGGTGGGGCGGGAGGGGGTGGGGGGAGACACCTATGGAAGGGCAAGAAAGAAAATGTGCCTCTTTCAGGAACCCCTTCTTCTCCCATCTCCCAGACCATGTCATGAACATGACGTAGACTCCCTGTTTGCAAGTTGAATGCGTCTGTCAGTCCTAATACGGAGCTGAAATATGGAATTCTTAGACGTCTTCAAGCCACGCCAGGATAACAGAGCAAGGAAGAAAGTTTTTCATTCGTCCATTGGTCCATTGACTTTATTTCGGGAGTTAGGATACTCATAGTCATTCAAGGCTAAATAAACTAAACTTCAGACCAGACTTCAAGATTTTAAAATCCCATAGGTTAGTGATTTCCTGTATGAACTTCCTAGAGAACCATTCATTTTCAGGATCTCCTCCTCTTAGATCTCTTTTCTGTTAGTCATGACGTAAATGAGAGACCTGGCGCTCCCCAGGGTACTGTTTTCTTTGTCCCCTATTATTCAAGCCTAGAAATTACATCTGAGTCCTCCTTGTTACAGGTGACAAACAGCATTTGTTTTACATTTTGATGCAGTCAGGTTCTCAGGTTCCAGCCTGTCAAACAAGCTCGGAATGGGCTGGTAATCTCCCAGACTTTAATCCTCTCCATCTTTTATTTGTGTGAAGGAAGTGAGGGCATTAGCCCTCTCAAAATCGCAAAGACTCATTCTGTTTGCAACTCTTGAATATCGTATTACAAGGCAGAGTGTGATTTTTATTGTCAACTGTAGTATGCTTAAATGAAGCATACAGAGGCCTCAAGGGGGGCCGTGAATTCCCTCCACACTTAACCTGGGCTCTGGTAACAAGGACACTTACTGGCTAGGTAGGAATGTCAAGTGGCCGTGGCTACACTGATGGAGGCATACAATTAGTTTAATTATAGTACCTACTCCTATGTAATCATTTCTCAAGAAGCATGGAAGATTGCTCACTCTACTGGTAGTTTTTAAGTCTTCTGCACCTCGAGACCTCTCTTAGGAAGTCGGCTGTGGCCTAGCAGGTTGTGACATTCTTTGCTGCCACATAGCATCAAACCAGTTTGCAGATACAGTCCCCACTTTCCTTCCCTTCTCCTAGCCCTCCAAGTATCACAGCAGGGCCATATCTGACCAAAGAACTTTGTTTTTCTTTTCTTTTCTTTTTTTTTAATCTGCAGGAAAGGAAAAAAACTAATATCTTTTCGAGGAAAAAAACTTAATCTTAATGATAGTTTGCTTTTATTAAGTGTATCTTCCTTGGGGACTTAATCTTTGTGCCCTAATATGTTAGAGACCACCGGCATTTATCTTTATAGAAGGATAGGCATTCCAAACACAGTGTATCACTACTCATGTCATTTATTATTTTCCTTTTATTATTCACATTGATGCAGTTAAGATGGTCTTTAGATGAATAAATTAAGAAACTCTGTTGAAGAAAAATGACTTTGTTTATATTACCACACATATGAATCACAGGGTGCAAATTCAGTAGTGTTTGAAATAGGATTTTTCTAGTCTCTTTGGGAAAGGCTAGAAGGAAAATGAACATAGTGGTCAACCAACTTTTGTGGGCTGTACTCAGTGGAAGGAAGTCAGTGACAAAATCAGCAAAGCAAGCAAAACAAGAGATTATCTACCTTTATCTGTCCATCCATCCATCCATCCATCTACTTTTATTTGGCTGGAACTCTATGGAATTCCTTTAAACTGCTATTTTTTTTCCTCCTCATTTTATTCAACTTAGGAAACATTAAAATTAGTTGTACATTCCAAAAGCATTAATACACTGATGGAAAGGAAAGATAGCCCATAGGTTTCTGGTTGAAGGAGTTAGAATTTTAAATTATTCCTGAATAATCCCCATAGACTGATAATCAAGTGTTGACTCAACTCGTAATTTTTCTGTGCGATGCTTAAATGAGCACAGAAGAATTCCCTACTTACATATGATGACAACCTAATGTTTTGTTCCATCAGTACTTACCATAGCAGCTTATATTTGTGAAGAGTCTTTTTCTGAAGAGTTTAAAAGATTCTGTAATTCACTACATTTTATGCGCAGGGACCC